AAAACCTTGGAGGCACACAGTTTCGATTGTTCAGTCTTACGCCAGATTGCAAGAAGTCCACCAAGCCTGCCGTCATGGAAAAGTCTGAAGAAGAATTGGAGAAGGGGTTCGAGTTCATCAGGGAGCATGGGGAGCGTGACCGGGGCAATCTCAAGCAACTTGTCTGGATTCAAAAAAGCATTGCGGGCAATACCCCGATCAAAGGTTGGAGAGATGGTCTTGTGCAAAAAGCATTGGATAGTTTGGCAACGGATGCTACTATGTCAAAGCTTATAACCCGCTACGACCTCATCATTGGTGACTTTGAAGAGGGCATACAGGACTTGATGCAGAAGCTTGTTCCATATTTGCGAGAACATGCACTATGGATTCTAGGAGCTGCTGGCAAAGGAAAAACTCCCTTGGGACGTGTGATCGCTATGATGTTCTCACGATACCATGGAGGCACTGGTTCCTATAGAAGTGGAAGCGACTTTGATTATTTTCGTGGATGTCCATTCACTAAGAAGGTATCTGCCATCTACGATGACGGCGACATCGGCCTCGAACCCGTCAAAAAGAAAAAAGCCTTTTCAGATGTTGCCGACACAGAAACATTAACCAAGGAACGCTGGACTGCCGCTAAGTTTGTCCAAAATCAGCTTCGTGTCGTCATAGACAACGCGTTTGAGCCTGAGAAGGAACAGACTATCTCCGTGGACCCGAACCCAACCATTTCTCATGACCAGTTCCTGGACATCATTCGCCCTGCGATTCGTGCCCAGCTTCATACTTGATATTTTGTTTGTTGTTTAGTAAATATAAATATTTTCAAAGATTACATATTATGACTATGAGAACAATGAGGTGATATGAGCACTGCGGATATCATGGCTATCTTGAAGCGCTCGGTCTTCGTGGTTGTTGGCAAAGAAATCGTGTATTGGCGTTTGCCTGGACCCATTCCTACCCCCATTCCATGCATGAGTTGGTGCCTACCGGATCTTATCAAGGACTGTGCGAAACCTCGCATCCACAACTACCGCAACGGTGGTCCTCAACCAGAAGATCATGCCGAACGTCTTCTGTGGGAGGATGCCTGGCTTCAAGAAGCAATTCGTCGCTTCGATACTCCCAATGGCAGACCCCCCGCTCCTCACGCAGCAGCTCCCGCACATGTACGAGTCAAACGGGAAAGGTTTACATTTGCAAAGAAACTCGCATCCGAATCTTCGCGCGCACCCATCGAGATCGCTACCCCGTCACCATCGCCATCTCCAAAACGACCTCGTGGAGAGGTACATGTTGGCAGTCCCGACGGCCGCAACGTGGAGTCTGCAGGCATCCATGATCCGGTAGGGCCCAATGGCATCAACGACGCAGTTGCAGGTCCCGGCATGTTCATCAACCCGAACTTCCTCGAGCATTCTGACTCCGATGATGTTTTGCCTAAAGTAGGGGAAGCAGTGCCAGATTCCATGGAGCGAGAGCTTGAACAACTTATAGACCATGCCCCATCACCTTCTGGCGAACCCATGGATGTTGTGTCACCAGCAGAGTGAGCGGATAGCCTCACGACTAGTGTGTACTGATTCCAGTAAGCATTTAGCAGAACATGTTTGCTGTTTCGTCTGCCTATTGTAAACACACAGTAATATACCATACTGCTTATGTAACATATACTCTTTATACGAATCTGGATCAGTCGTCGGCTGGACTTTCGGCCTGTAGCCTCCTGGAGAAAAGCGTTTTGATACTTGCTTTTCACCCATCGCCCACATGAGTTAGACCCATCGAAGCGCATCAAAATGCCCGCACGTCTTGTTTGCATTATGCTTCTTTGAACAATCAGTGTGTAGCATTGTGTGCATGTCTTCTGATCTACACATGGCATTTAGAGCATTTGACCC